AWGRARCWAAGGCAGATGTCTTTATTAAATGAGACTACTGYGCTTCTTCCAGTCCTTTTAAACATTTATTTTTACCAGGGCTCACTTTGGCCTTAGTGCCCTCTCTGATTTTTTTCAGTCACTCTCTCTCCAGAGGCAGGACTTAAAGATGTCACGGAGAAGAAAATGACAGGAATCTTGTTTGCCTCCTGGTGGCAGGAGGCGGACGGATCCTCCTGGGTCTGCGCTGTGGGCGTGCTCCAGATCCCCTGCCRAGGCCGAACACTGAAATAAAATCCGGAAAGTCTTAACGAATACAAGAAGTGTCCTGATATGGCATTGAAGGAGAGAGATTTGTCGTAGAGATTAGAGACTCTTTATAGAGTAGGTGATGTTTTTTGGAGAGTAGGTGGCTTTTTTTCYGATGAATCAAATTGTTGCCCCCAAGTGAGATACTCCCTGGACTTCAGACAGCCAAGACAACACTGGCCCAATGTTTATGCCCAGAATCAGMAGTTCATACGCGCATGTTTTAAAATCCTCCAACCTCAGAAAAGTTCTTAAACACATGACTAAATCCCGCTGGAGTCAGTAGGAATGAAGCATGGTTAGACTCTTAGGCGCCAACTTACAGAAAAACGACCAAAAAAAACAAAACGCCCCAAACCACCCAAGCCATATATGTATTTATAAATACATATAAATATATGTGTATCTTATATATGACATATTAGAATTTATTTTAAAGGTAATTTAATTTTAATCAAAGTTTAATATGTTTTCATTTATATGCTGCAAGTGATATTATTGCCCAACAAAATGAAAATGCTCTCTTAAGATACAATCAGACTTCTATCTCCTAACTTTTCACTCCCTGTTGTTTCCCTATATTTTATTTCCATAATCTTGCAGGGACAGAGAGCTTGTCATCCTCTTGGGAGAAGCATCTGTTTCCTTGCTTGAGGGAGGAACATGCAGCATGGGGGTCATCTTTTCTTTAGCTTTCTTCCTTCCTAAGTCCCATTTACTTGGGGTTCTCCTTGGCAAACTCCATATCTCTTTCACAGGGGATAACCCTGKGCCAGATGGGAAATAGATGCAGCCTTCGCAGTAGCCAAAATGCATCACTACAACTGTCACAAGCTGCAAGCATAAGCTAGATGTCTTAATTTTCCTAGACATGTGGCCAAGTAGCAATGCCATAGTGTGTGTGTGTGTGTGTGTGTGTGTTTAACAAATGTCCAATGGGACAGAGTCCACCTGGCATGTGGATGTTCCGCCCCTTTGATCCCTTGCCTGGTTCTCTCTGTGCTTGGATGAAGAAGTGCTTGGAGGAGAGAGGGGAAAAAAAATTGGCAGCTCTCAGATTGTTTAAATCTCACCAGAGGCAGTTTAAAAATAGGGAGATTGGGGAGGGAAAGGAGAATTGAAGGAGTAAAAAATAATCCTCAACTGGCAAGAGTCTTTGGGGAGGRGAAAAGAAACTAAAGCAGCATGAACCTTGAGTAATTATTTCTTAGGTCTCATGCGACACAGCTGATTATTGAATTAGGCTTGGATGTGCTACCAAGTTGCCCCTASACTTCCTCTTTGAGCTACACTGCCACCCACTCCTGAATCCTTTCTGTGCCACCACTTGGGGCATCTGAATGTTTTATGTAGCATTAGTGCCCCTCTGGAGATGAGGAGAGCTCTATTCCTAAGGCAGGCATTGCTGCCTCCTCTCATTTAATTTTTTCTTGAATCTGCCAATCCAAAGAGGTTAAATCTGTGTTGTGTTTTTCTTCTTTTTATCAAAATAGATCCAAAAGGCTTTTGATGGATTACCCGGATACAAAAGTGTTCAAGTCCTGGAATACAGGTAAAAAAGAGATAGTAAAATATGCATTAAAAATGCATATGTCCCAGCAATAATGCTCTCTGAATGGATGCATATGCATTGGCTGACAATTGTTTGTGACAGAGCTTTGTATGAACATTGAACAAACACAGGAGTTTCTAGGATATGTTAACCAAAGGACAAATGCTTCCATACTGTTATGTTTATACATATTTAGACAAAGTTTAAAATTGAGTTCCAAATTGTGTTTCCTCTTTTCTGCTTCTGGTGTCCAAGAGAGTATCGTGCATGATATATCTGCCTTGACTTTAAGGCAAGGTGCTCTTATTTAAGATTGCCAATGGCATCCTGGCCTGCATCAGGAGGAGCGTTGCCAGCAGGTCAAGGGAGGTGATTCTGCCCCTCTRCTCAGCTCTGGTGAGGCCGCACCTGGAGTACTGTGTTCARTTCTGGGCACCCCAGTATAGGAAGGACGTGGAGCTTCTGGAGAGGGTCCAGAGAAGGGCAACCAGGATGATTAAGGGAATGGAACATCTCTCGTATGAAGAGAGGCTGAGTGAGCTGGGCCTTTTTTCTCTGGAGAAGAGAYRGCTCAGAGGGGATATGATTAATRTGTATAAGTTCAGGAAGGGAGAATGCAGGGAGGAAGGGGACAGGCTGTTCTCACTGGTGGYCAGCGATAGGACGAGGGGTAATGGCCACAARCTGAAGCATAAGAAGTTCCGTCTCCAGGTGAGGAGSAACTTCTTTACTGTTAGGGTRACAGAGCAGTGGAACAGGCTGCCCAGGGAGGTTGTGGAGTCTCCTWCTCTGGAGGTCTTCAAAACCYGCCTGGATGCCACCCTGTGCCACATGCTSTAGGTGTGCCTGCTTGAGCAGGAAGGTTGGACTAGATGATCTGTAGAGGTCCCTTCCAACCTTAAATATTCTGAAATATTCTGAAATATTCTGAAAGACTCTGTCTTCCATTATAGAAGAACTCTTTTCATTTTAAAATCAGTATCTCTTAGTTTTTCAATACTGTTGACATGTATTAAACAGTGAAGAACATAAATACACATTTTTCCAAAAGACTTTTAAAATTTCTTTTCAATTTCTAATGTTATTTTTTGTTAACTCAAAAGGTTAGATTGCAATCTTTGAGTTACAATTTGAGATGTGAAAAGGTCTTTCTCCCTTTGATCAAAGCAAATCTAAGTGGATAGCTTTTGCAAATTATTTACAATGTTTTATCTCACTTTATTCTTGTGAATATTGTTGAAAAAGTTTAGTTTATTCAAATTACTTTGGGATTCAGAATTATACCTTAAATTAGTTTGGGAAAGTAATGGATTSTTAGTATTACATATCAAATATCTGATGTCTGAGGTTTGGGAGACATGKATCAAAAACTATGTTGTTTCTTCTTGAATGGATTGGACCCAACTTTCAGAATCCAGTGAGGCTGCTCGTGAATGAACCTGAATTACATTTTCCATGAGGTTTTAGTCATCTGTATTAGAATATTCCAGGCAATTATTGTACTGGCTAGAATATATGCAGGTAACAAGACAGCTATAGAAAGAGAACTAGGTTTTATAATTGTACCCCTGGACTAGGTTCAGTTTCTAGCTTTGCCRTGAAATTCTTCATTATTGCGAACTGTTGCAAACAGGCAAACTGTGTGTCCTCCTCGTGCTTCAGTTCCTTGCAGGTGACAAGGATGAAATATGGTCCTTGGAGAGATGAGCCTGATCAAATTATGTTGTCGGAGATACCAGAACAGAATGGTATAGGAATGAAATTACAAAATTGTTCAAAAGAACATGGCAGCAATGGTCCTGGTGATAAATGCAGTGACAAACTTGGTGCTATTTGCCCAAATGCAGTGACTAGCTCCACTTTGGGGCCTGCTAATATAGCGTACTTATCTGAGCTGATAATTTGGTTCATGGATCCATAAGAGTTATACCTATCTCAGCAAGGGAAACTCCAGTCCCTGCAGGAGCACAGAGGCAGCTTTTAAGTTCCCACCTTCACTTGTGGCTAAAACCYCAGCACACTGGTACAGTGACACGTGCCAGGCCAAAGCTCTGCCTGGGAGGTCGCAAACCCTTCCAGCTAATTATTTACAGTCTAGTATCTCCTGCAAGTCTCTCCGCTTCGCTTCAAAAGAGAAATAGAAGTTGATATTTCTGGCAAAACACCAGAGTTCTGTTCTGTGCTCCGTCCTGTGTGATGGAAAATGTGTTTATGAGCTAGTCTTTAGGCAGAATTAGTGAGTTTGGACTCTCTTGGCACTGGCAGTAATTYAACTGCATTGTTTGCAATAGGGTGAGATGGCTCTACTCTGCAGATTTCTAGTGATCAGTATTAAATATCTCAGTTCATTGAAACTAGAACTGTCTTTATTTAACAGAATAACCATGCAATTTATAAGCATTTTTCTCTATGTATCTTCAAAGATGTGTGTCCTATCAAATATCATGGTCATTTTGATAAATATTAAGTTAAAAGACTTTAAAGCTGAAATTGTTTTAACAGGTCTTGTTTTTCTTTTGTTTGTTTGTATATTTAGCTCTCCTGAGGAGGACAGGTAAAGACAACTTCATTCTACATAATGAAGTAATGCAGACGAAAAAATGCACATTAGTTGTAGCACACTAGTCTTGAGGATTGTGGTTTTGGCTCTGGAGTGAGATAATTATCCAGCATAAATATACTAGGTGGGGGTTCTACCAAAAACTGCAAGTAGATGATTTCACTTGATTTCAGATAACCTGATTTCCTTATTTAAATATTAATCACAACAAACTGCTTGTGGAAATATCTTTCTAAACACAAGTCAGCTATTGAATTAGGTATTGTCTCTTTGGTGAAGAAAACAAAATTACTTAATGATGACTCAAGGTTTCTATAATTTGCAGCAGTCTGGATGATGAATGATATGAAAATACAAATAGATAAGAAAACCATAGGTTTCTAGCAAAGACCTAACTACCTCAAGGCCCGAGTTGCTAACACCTTAGCAGGAGTTTTATAGACATTCCTCAGCAGAAGATGGGGATCAGCCTGGGCCTGTGTTTGAGAAGATATATTTAGGATCATAAGTTTTCCTCCTTCGATATATTTCAGGAATGGCACAGACAAAGAATAACTGCAGCTTTGGACTTGCAAGAAGTATTTTCTTTCGTCTGCTTTTCAGCAGGGGTATAAGTAATGTCCAGTTTCCATAGTGTTATAGAGATTGAGCACTTCAAGTTTAGAATAAAGATTAGAAAACTCAAACCTTTTTATAAACAACAGTGACTCAAAGCCATCCTCTGTCACTTGGCACTTTCTGCATGACATCCAGCTGTCCAGAGAGGTTCTGTTCCAGACGTTTTAGCCTTTTCCAGACAGATGCTGGTGTCATAGTTGTGAGTTCACAGTGATAAAATGCAACTGACAGCACAGTTTTATTAAATCTCAATGTTGTTTTTGGTTAGCCTGCTGTATTCCACCTTAGCAGTGCCTTTTGCTACTGCTCTCCTTTTTTTTTCTTCTCCTGGTTCTCATGCCCATGATGAACCTGTGGTGGGCTCATCTCCAGGACAGAGCCGGCAGCAAAAATCCAGAGGTGTGATTAGGTCTCTGCAACATCTGGCACTGGGGCTCTGGAGGCCTCTCTGAGCTGAGCTTTAGCAAGGCAGCCCAGCTCTGTGGAATGAGGAAAAAACTATCTTTGGAGCAGCTTTTCCTAACACTTCATCGATTACTTCATTTTCTTGCTGCGCACTGTGTGCAGCCAAAGTATGTTATACTTTCTGAAGCTCCTTTGTGCGTTTGCCCAGTGTACGGTAAAGCTGATTGCTATGCTGTCGTGTGGGAAGGGACATTCAGAAATAGTCAGGAGAAGAAAATAAAGAAAATAGAGGGCAGTTAATACAAAAAAAAGCTCAACAGTGCATGGGTGCAAAACAAATTGATTTTGTTCAAGAGTAATGTATCAAATGATATAGTAATAGGGATTTTTTTTCAGACTAAAGATTATATTAAGTGCCACTTTAGTACAGTCAAAAACATTATTTCAAGCAAACTGATTCYGCACACTGTCAGTGTTCAGGGTTCCTACTTACTACTATATATATATTTATATCTGTTTTCCATGCTGTTTTCTTATCTCACAGCTATTGCCATCACTGCCATAATCCTAAAAGCAGGATCCTAAAATCATTCACACAATTGCATCGTGGTGGGCCCATTAATAATGCTGGCAGAAGCCAACATTTTTCTGCTCTTGTGGTCTTTCTGCTRCTCACAAGTAGAAACACAATACTGTGCCCAAAACAGATGTCATGTTCAGGTAGCCTTTTCTTGGAGAACTTTCTTATGTGGATCTTGACAGTGCTGGAAAGCACTGCAGTGCACAAAAAGGAATAAAATTGATTTTTGTCTTTGTTTTGAATTAAGTTGTGTTTGATTATTTTAAAGCATCATTTTTTTAAAGGATACTGGCTCAGGTTCTTAAATAAACAGACAAATAAGATGTATGCAATACCTTGAAGACCTTATCCTCTAATCTTTGTTCTRTTTCTCTCTGTAAAACTGAAGTGGAGTGGAAGTCCACTATGCTGTTACATTTGATGGAAAAGCCATCAGCAATGCCACCTGGGACCTCATTAACCTTCATTCCAACAAGGTGGAGGACAACTCCTTTATGGACATAGAAGATAATCCAACAGTTGTTTACACCATCAGTGATTTCCAAGATTATATTGCTGAAATTCTCCAGAAAAATGCCTTGCTGGAAAATGCATCCTTGACTTTGGACCCCAGCTCTCTCCAACTTATTAATAGTAAGTATTACTTAAGACKCATCAGTGAGCCATACATCTGAGGCCTTATAAGATAATTCTCAGGCTCAGGTGAGAATTATTCAGCTACCCTCTSAACAATTAAAAACAAGTGATGAAAACAAATGAATTGTAGTTTGTTTTGCTGTAATATTAACCAGGTCAGGTCATTGTTAGTAAGATCCCWTATCTAATCCATTAAATATCCTTTTATCTATCACAGTGTGATCTTGATCTCAGCACTCAAGATTAGTTCAATTTAGTAGCTTTACATTGGTCATGAGCAGCACAAAGGAATCCCACTTCATTTTGTTGCCTGCTCAGGCACCCTTGCATAGCTGGTGGAGAAGGGCTATCCAGTCCCGCTGTTTCCAACTTTCCTTTGCACTCCCTGTGAGAGATCTAGGGGGACTTCCAGAAACAAAATCTCTCTGGCAAACCTTTTGAGAACACCCTACTAGCAAGGGTGCAACCTGRGAGGAGGAAGGATCTTTTTTTCAGTCTGCCTTCTACAGCTTCTTCACACTAGCCTTCAACAATTTCTTCACACTACTAGTGCAATTTTCACATTCCCTGTATTTTTATTTTTGCAGTGAAAGAAATCATACAGCCTGCAGCAGAAGACCCAACCTGGATCACTGAGCATCCTGTTGTGCAGGAACACTCAGAGTTTGACGTGAGTATGGCTTGGAGCAGTGGTCTTTTRGTTTGTCATATGTCCATTGAACACATGTGATCAGCTGCATTCAGCAAGATGGAATTACCCAGAGGATCTCTAYCATGCAGAATGAGTAGTCATGAAGGCACGTTATAGAACGGAGTAAAAGGTTTCTGGTTAGATCTATTGATAATTTGTCTATCTGTTGCACAACAGTTTTCCATGATCATTTTATCTCACATGACAGTATTGTTTTTCTCCTAATGTTTATGTCATAAATGACTCTAAAGAGAGATGATTCTCCCCACAATATCACACTTCTGTTTGGAAACAAAGAAATAGATGTAGGCAGTTAATTTGACTGTTAGAAGAGATGAGAGAAAAGGGTGGGCTTCATACGCTCCCTTTCTTACCGTATTGTTTTTACTGAAAATTCTTAGTTCCCTTTTAAAATGATATTCATCCCCTTAGTGTCAGCAGAGGAAACACGAAAATATATGAGCCGTTTTTTGTTTCTTTGGTCTGTGTTTCTTTCTTTTCTTTCTTTTTTTTTTATTCTTTTGTGTGTGTGTGGTTTGGTTTGGTTTGGTTTTATTTTATAAATTATCTCCTCATCTGATTTCTCTTTGTCCCGGATCACTCCAAAGCTGAAGTTCCCTTTGGGTAGGAGACTTGGTACCGCTGAACATGCCTGTGCAGTGCAGTGGAGCTGTAAGCAGCGATGCCAAGGCAGGTGCTGCTGAGCCAGTGACGCTGAGATGGAGTTTATTAGTTCTGCTGGCAGCCAGAGTCTGTRCAAGGCAGAGCACCATCTGGGCTTAAGGGGTTATCCAGCAGATTTCTGCACAGCACTGTTGTGTAACACGAGTGTGTGCCTTCCAAGAAGAAATGGATCAGTCCATATACAAAGCCCACGCCCAGCTATGTTTGATGGACATATGTTGGGAACACAGATACCAAATATCAGACCGGTTACTAAAAACCTTATCCATTCAAGCAAAATTCTCAACAACTCCACAGAATTAAAGACTCTTGTTCTRACAGTCCCTTGATGTTCATGGCTGTATCCACAGATGTCTTAACCAGTGGTGTCTAAAATGTAAATTCATATGACTTTGCCATAAATGGGTAAAACATGATATGGATAAGCATGAATTTGAGCTAGGCTTCAGCTAGGTCTTTCTATTACTAGAGCTATATAACTAGATTCTAATTTTGCATACAATTATTTTAATAAGACGAAGGATTCCATCACCTTTGCATTCTTTTTGTGGATACTTTAGCAGATATGCAGGCAAAAAGATTTTATAGATGAGGGAGTTTTGCCATGATAGTTGATCTTAAATGAGTTTCAGGGATTAGTTTGTAGAAATATGACTGGAATTTCCTTATTTCAAATCATAAAATGTGAATAATATTATGTCATTTACGTCTTCAATGAAAATATCYGATTTTGTAAAAAGTAAAGATATTGAGTATATCCAAAAAGCAGCTATGTACAACCTATGATGCACAGATAGTTGGAGAAATGTTTTTAAATACATTTAAGAAAATTATAAACTATTTAGAGACAAAGAATAGACAACTGAACTTCTTAATCATTGATTATTAGCACAGACACATTATCTCTTCTTTATGGTTCAAGTAGATACKGTTTAGGAACTCTCTTATAATTCCAGAGGTTGGGTTTGTATTATTTTATAGGGTCAAGGCATAATATGGCAGTGACTTCACAGTGTAATCCCTAGGGGATGGTATCAACTAAACATTACTTCTTGTCTTTGAATTTCACAGTTTTTTTTAATTAAAAAAAAATCAGTTCTAGCATTTGAAATCCGTACTTTTTTTTTCTGAGGACAGCAGAAATCTCTAGAGCCAGTAGAACGTATTGGATTATTGAATGCAATGTCTTTATGGCAGCAGCAAATGGAAAATTAGGGAGTTTGTAGGATTTTCTTTGCAGTCATCTGTCATATTTGTAAACCTTTCAAAAGACATTAGCATAAACCATACTTGCCAATATGATATCAAACTTGTTAATACAATATATTGCAATGTAACAAGAATCTTTGAATAATATTAGTTGTCATAGGAACATCTATCCACGTTAAAATAAATGATGAAGTGCAATTCCTGGCAACTAAATGCTCACACAAAATACTGTACTGAGAGGCTATTGCTGTTAGTCCTTATTCATTTTTTATGGAATTTATATGTGAAGTTTCTTTCTAATCTTACGCAATAACTTTTTTCACAGGTTTACTTATAGTGGTCAGTTTTGCCAAAAAAGATAATTGCTGAAGCACATGTGTTTATATTATATATATATTTTTCAACCAATCATTACCATATAAAAGCTATAATGAAAGAAGGCTGTGGTGGAATAATGACTGTCTATAAACACATGATCAATATAGGTGGACAGATAATTGATTTAAAAATATATTGATAGGTTTGTTTCAACATTGTTCAAATGCAGCTTGAGTGTAGTGGAAAATGTGTTTCACCCACATATTTCAGGCAAAAATAGAATTTCAAATTGGAAAATGTTTAAACTTGTTCTGATTATTCATGCTAGTAGAGCCAAACAGCTAGTTTAGATAGGAATAGTGAGCCATAGGAGTGTTTATATCTGTATTTAGTTTTGAGATCTAGTAAATATTTTTGGAACTTCTGCTCACTTAAATTTACTGGTCACCATCAACAGTTGGTTAGTTTTTAGTGAAGTGGTTCTTAAGTTATTTGACAGCTTTTCACATTTCATTTTTTTTTTGTCCTTACCAGGTTATTGCACAGCACAGGCATTTGGGCACGTGTCTGTGCAAAGCACTGCATCTCCTGAGTTTTAACTAGTTAGCTTGCTTTTGAAATCTAAGTCAAATAACTTAATCTCTTCATTGATTTTTTTAAATTTTATTTTTACCAAGATGTATATTTCAGAGATACTGTGAAAAGATTAATATTAAGACATATGCAGTGTACTAAGTATTCCAATTGTATTCTAATTGTAGATAAAACAATGATTAGCGTATATAATAGAAAGTAACTGAAGTGCAAGTTGGAGAGGAATTTAAAAACAAATTATTTTTTCCCAGTTCAAGCAATTCAGATTCATTATGCACATTCTTCATTTTTCATCAGTATTGCTCATAGTTTTTAGCAGACATAGGCGAGCTTGAAGTGCAGGTTGCCAGGACATATATATTACATTTACACTGTGTATTAGTAGCAAAGACTACTAATCCTCCCAGTTTGACGTGTCTTGCTACTACGTGTTATATGCTCACAAAGATGATAGTATCCAATTTTGCTGCTATTCTACCCGAAGTTTAACACTCTTACGCGTTCATTCACCCCACTGCGGCTGTCCAGTACTTCTCCTGTCACAGAAGTTGTGCTTTTATGTTTCAGGATAACACCTTTGTGGCTGAATGGCCTTCGGCAGATGAATCAACTGCCAGCAACACCTTGCCCTTCGACTTCACCAAACCAGATCCCAGTCTAGGTAGCGAGCAGTCCAACGACAACGAAATCCGGCCAAAACCTGAAAATCTGGACTCCGAGGCCAGTCTGCCACCCGAAGCTCCGCTCTCCTCAGAGGCTGACATYACTTACTTACCTGATGGGCTGGGTTTAGAGGAAGGGAACCAGACTCCTCTTTTGGTCACCCCGTCGGTATTAGGGCACGATTCTGCAGATTCTCTGGAATGGCTCTCAGTCCCGGATCCTTTAGATGGTAAGTTAATGCCATTGGCTAAAGCTTAATTCTGGATGCTAGTGTTTTCTACTACTCACCAAAGGCATAATGCATGAAAGGTATAATTCACCAAAATTATGATTTAGGTCTAAAAAACTGACAAATTATTTTTAGGTCTGTTTTTATGTTTCCTGTGCRCCGTGCACTCAAGATGATGATGATGATAAAATGCTTGTAACAGCTAATAATGTCTGTTTATCCCCTGAGGGAATTGTACATATGAAACACTTGTTCAATTGCACAGAAATATTTTAATATAGGGCATGTCTGAGTGAGGCCATGCAGAGATAACTGATCTCTAAAGTAGACTAATTAGCCTAACGATGTGCCACACATCTATTGCTGTACTGTGTATTCTGCAGTCTTAGACCACTAAATATCAGAATCAAATTCGGAGAGATCACGAGAGGTTCTGAATATAGTATAAAATGGGCAGTATATGTCATGGGAAATATGTTGAATATAGATCTGTGTGTGTGTGTATGCATGATTTTTTTCGTTTCTTTGTTTGCTTTCTTGTTTGTTGGTTTATTTTCTCCCTAAAAACTAATTGAAAACTGATTTTTAGGATTTGAAGATACCGGACTATCTGAAGACTTTCTTCTGCCTTCAAGTGTCCCTTCTCATGTTGTGCCAAAGAAACCTTCATCCACAGATGATGATGTAGTTCCTCTGCTATCTGCACCAACAATGGCCTCTTCGTCGGTCACACAGACTGATACAAAAGGAATAGCATCTGCCGAGAAGGAAGAAACACCTAAGGGTAGCGYTGCAGAGAGTGATAATGSAGACGCTGTGTCATACGAGTCTGCGACAGAAGTTTCTTTTCCCTTAGAAGCTGACACTGTGGAAGGTGAAACTGATGTATACCTTGGAGATGGAGATAGAATTATAAATGATGATGGGTCTGGTTCAGCTTTTGATGGTTCAGGAAAAGAAATGGAATCAAATACTTGGCCATGGGGAACAGCAACACTGGAACCAGTTTTCTACCCTGGACCTGATAGGTGGCTTGATGATGACAATGAGTCCCTGTTAGTCAGCACTGAGGATATTCCTGAAGGTCTGATCTTAGATTATATTCTTAACTCTAGAAAGAAATTAGATGATGATCCTTCTGCAGATGAGAATGAAGGTGGTATGACTGATACCAATGTAAAGGAAGACTTCCTGGATGAGTCTGAAGTATTTGTTTTTCCAGAGACTTCAACTCAACCTGTACCTCTGTTACAGACAGAAGTGCCATCCTCAATGGAATCATCTACACACATCGGAATACATGATTCTTCTTTTATTAAACCATCTTTTGTTTTGGAGCCTTCAGTGGATTATTCCTCTCTAGGCGTGCCAGCTGGAGAGGCCCCTGTCTCACCTCAGGATACAGATATGTCTGTAGAAGAAAATCTTGTATCTACAGAGACTGTCAGTGTGGAACAACCTGAAGAGTTCAATGTGGGTCAGAACATTGTTTCTGAAGCAGTTGAACACCAAAATGAGGACAGAGCAGTTTTGGAAGAATTAGCCACAGCAGGGCAGTTGGATGTAGCTGGAGCTGTTACAATAGGCCACTTGGACACAAGCTCTTCAGGAGCTATTGTGACTGTAGATGCTTTCACAGTATATGCTGATACTTCTACAAAAGAGGAGCAAATCTTGACAGATCAGGAGGCTACTGGATTATCGATGAAACCAGATGACATCTGGCCTACTGACGGAGCGCCGGAGAAAACACTAGATTACGAAGTGCAAACAGCAATGCCAACTCTGCTTCAGGCTTCAACTGTTGTTCCTTCTGTAATAGATCAGACCGCTGTTTTGGAGGACTTCACTGGACATGGTAATACAGACCATGACGTGCATGTTTCTGATAGTATCAGCACTGTTATGAATTCATTTGCAACAGAGAGAGTAACAACAGATACTTATGAGCTTTCATCCCGTTTCCCTCCTATGGGATCTACAGTATCATCTTCTATGGCTACCTCATCAACTCTGGAAGATGAAATGACAACAGTTTTGGATATTTCAGTAGAGCTGGATCRTGCGAGCACTATCTACTCCTCTCCTAAGCTGAATAAGGAGGGAAGGGGCATGACTGAGAGTCACGTGGAGCTAACGACAAGTGTACAGTCCACAGAAATGGCCAGCGTGGCTTGGCCCACTCATGAAGACCACAATAGTACTCCTGTCCCATCGCGAGCTCTAGTGGTGTTCTTCAGTCTTCGGGTTACCAACATGATGTTTTCAGAGGACTTGTTTAATAAAAATTCTCCTGAATATAAAGCACTAGAGCAACGATTTTTGGAACTGGTAAGAATTAATTCTGTGATCAACATAGGAGGTGTTACCTAAGTGTTACTAGGTGGACAGTAATAGCTAATAAATAGGTTGTCTACTCTGTTCTACAAGGCTAACTCATATTGGTGCTACAGCAGTAGTAGTAGTAGTAGTTATTATTGTTATTGTTCTTCCATGATAAAATACTGTCAGGAAATAGTTTTAATTCAGTTAGTTGCCTCTCAAAATCTGAGGAAATTTTTATCTTAACTTTTCAGCCATATGAGCCAGATGTTCAATGGGTGTCAGAAGATGTAGCATAGCTGAAGTCACTGGGACATTCCCTCCATTTGCTTCCTGAGTGCTCTTAGGTTATTCTGTGGGTAGAGAAGTGAGTGAACTGGAATGGTGGGGAGCCACCTTTCTGTATACATTCAGCCTATCGTAACTAAGGTGTGGTTTAGRGAATTAAACTATCCATAAACTAGCTGATGTCCTAAATAGCCACTGGCTAGTAAGGTCACATAAAAGTAATATTACACCAATTCCCAAATTTTAACCCAGAAATCCCCATTTCCTGGTTGCAAGGAGTGTTTTACTTTGGAAGAGGGAGGCAGCAAAGGAGAGGGAGGGAAGGGGGTCATGGTTCAAGGTAATGCTCTGTGAGATGAGGAGTACGCCTGGTGCTTAGATCACCATATATATCCTGTAAACTACATTTTTGAATCATAGATCGGGAAAATGACTGTAAATTGATCTACTCTAAGAACTGTGTGCTGTGCTCGTGGCAAGCTGCCACTATGGGCCTCAGCTGCATAGAGTTTTGATACTCTTGCTGTGGGATTTGAATAAAATTATATGGACTCCTTCAACTTTTGATGCAAAAACAGGCTGGAGTAGACAATTCAAAGATTCAGCCTATCTGTTGTTGTTCCCTGTGTTGCAGTTGGTCCCCTACCTTCAGTCAAATCTCACAGGCTTCCAGAATCTGGAAATCCTGAACTTCAGAAATGGCAGCATTGTAGTGAACAGCCGGATGAAGTTTGCCAAACCTGTGCCTCGGAAYGTCACCAATGCCGTGTACATGATCCTGGAAGACTTCTGCAACACAGCGTATCATACCATGAACCTGGCCATCGATAAGTACTCCCTGGATGTGGAATCGGGTAYGGAGCTATAGAAGTGCAGTTGTCTAAGCAAGGGTTGTGGGAGCAACTTCTGCTTGAAGAATTTATAATCTCAGCATCTCAGAGAGTGCCCACCGCTTTTCAGAGGCTGGAGAAAGCCTCTTAGAAAGACAGTCCTTCAGAGAGTTAGCAAACAAAAAAAATCCCTAGGGAGTAAATGAATGAATCCAGACTAAGTTATATGGGACCCCCCTATAGAAACCCAGACCACAACTAACTCATGTAGCTCTCTGTAATGCCACTCTACTTTCACTTTGGAGTGAGAAGGAAGTTTGGTCAGCAAATAGAGTGGTGCCCATTTTGCTTTTGCATCTAAATACATACAAAACATGCTTAATATTGATGCAAGTTTGAACTTTTTCCATGCAATCCTTCCTCCAGGAGGCAGTCGGCACAGCTGCAAGGTAACCAGGTTAACTGCACAGGTGACAGCTGTTAAATTGTTTGTGAGTTCAGAACTTGAAAGCAGTAAAAAGCTATATGCTCTTTTAACTCATTCCTCTGACATCRGGTGAAAGTTCTGGGTTTCTTTCCCTCGTAAGTCAGCCAGCAGTTTACCGTATAGGTAACTCAAAAACATTTCCTGTTATAGTGTTAGAGGAATCACAGAATCACAGAATATTCAAGGTTGGAAGGGACCTCTAGAGATCATCTAGTCCAACCTTCCTGCTCAAGCAGGCACACCTACARCATGTGGCACAGGGYGGCATCCAGGYGGGTTTTGAAGACCTCCAGAGAAGGAGACTCCACAACCCCCTGGGCAGCCTGGTCCACTGCTCTGTCACCCTAAYAGTAAAGAAGTTSCTCCTCACTTGGAGATGGAACCTCCTGTGCTCCAGCTTRTGGCCATTACCCCTTGTCCTATCRCTGGCCACCAGTGAAAACAGCCTGTCSCCTTGCTCCCTGCATTCTCCCTTCATGAACTTATACATGTTAAAAAAAAATAACTGCTGACTCTGACAAAAGAGGCTCGCATGTTCCAGAGAGAAAATGTTCTATACTTTTGTGTGTGTGTGTGTGTGTGTGTGTCTTGCTGGGTGGTCTTGGCTGTACCACTTACACTCATTTTACAGACGCAGAGATGAGCGCTTCAGATCCCTGTGCAGAACGAATGGCACATGCTGGATTTTGCTGAATATTGTAACTAAGAGATTATTAGAGATGCTGCTCCCCAAGGCTAGAGAGTGGAAGTGCTTTGCTCCCATTAAGGTTACTGGTATTTTCTGTCTTGTCTGTTCTTAGGCGACCAGGCAGATCCTTGCAAATTCCAGGCCTGTAATGAGTTCTCCGAGTGCTTAGTAAACCGCTGGAGCGGGGAAGCAGAGTGTGTCTGCTATCCTGGCTACCTCAGCATTGACGGGCTGCCCTGCAACAGCGTTTGTGATCTGCAGCCCAACTTCTGTCTGAACGACGGCAAATGTGACATAAGCCCTGGGCAAGGGGCTATATGTAGGTAGGTCTTCCTCTATATCAAGTATTAAAGTACTGAAGTATTAGAACTACTTATAGTCTCCTTTGCTGTATCCCCTAGCAAGTTCTGCAAAATAATGTGTAAGAGGAGAGATGTCAATGACTAACACCCACCTAATGCTGCTGACTGGAGGTCCCGGTGTTAATTTTCTTGTGTAAAGCTCACAAATTAGGTAGTAGCAAGTTTCTTTAATAAAGTGGAAATAGGAAGGAAAGGTTAGGAAAGAAAGATAACTAGTAGAAGTGGTAGCAGTGGAACATACTTGGATGCTGAAATCACTTCAAGGRTCTTTGAGGAAAGAATTTATCTCCAGAAATTTTCTCAAGTACTATAATGCTATGTAATGTGATAAAACATCTATGAGTCTACTCTATCACACACAAAAAATCTGTTTTTAAAGGCATAATAAGGGATGAAATATTAAAAAAGTGATATTTTTAAAGAAAAACTAGTAAAATTATTGGTCCCAATAAAAATCAGGTATGGTGCATAAAGATCAAGAGGCAGCTGTTTCAATTTTTAGCTTTTTAAAGCTACAAATGCATTTGAAATGAATGTCTATGTTTTGCAGATARTATCAAAATATATAGCTAAATATATGTTCATTATGGTAGTACTCTTTAATTCTTTCTTTTTTTTTCTTTTATTTCCTTCTCAATATTTAAAAACAAAGTATACATATCAACAAAGTTAGGAAGAATTATTGCAAAAAAAGTATGGCGCTACTAAAAGTTATTTATGTTACATCAGATGATTTTTTGTTGAAAGGTTTGCCTACAATTTTGTTTTTTCAGGCCAGTCTTAAGCTGATTTTAAAGCTATGTAAAATCAATACTATTACATCTGTAAGATTTCACCATAATTGTCTAATAGTGTTTATGAGAAACAGGTGAACATGCTCCAGGCAGTATTTATGAAAAAGCTTTATGAAAAATTTTAAAAATTAGTTAGTGCTTTAGCAAAAGTATCTGAGATAGTTTCTTAAGAGACGTAATTTACTATTGTTTCTTATTAATAAGGTTCATACTTGTGGTCATTACAGTTCCTCAGTTTTTTATAGTAAAAAGCCCAAAGCACATAAATAAGTTCCAGATTAATTGTGTTTATAGTTAGCATCAACATTATGAACTCCCATGCTCAATATCAAAAACAGATTAAAAAAAAAAAAAGCTATTTTTGGGAAAAGTTGTAATGATACAATTTTGGACATCCCTTTTACTTCTAATAATGTATTCTATACATTTATTTAACTGTCCTTTATGGAGCTTGCTAAACTCTAAAAATATTCTGTTCTTCTAACACGTCTTCATTTGCATTTATATCACAGTATCTTTATAGGCAGAATACAGTTTTGTTTGATATATCTTGTGGAAGGATGAATCAAGGCATTGCACCTTTTAACTCAATCTACACAGCTTCTATCACAAGATTTGTTACTATAGCTAAACAGCAAAAGCCACAAGTGTTCACCATCATAAATTATTATTCATGTACCCTTCTACCAACAATCACTCAACTCAATAATGTTAAAGAGGCTGCTCATAATGAAGAAGAGAAAGAAAAAGTTGGTCCTTGAAAATGCAGAGGTATTTATTGAGGTAACTTAACTAAGGGCAGGTCATAACAGGAAGTTAAGCAAGCTCACATTAACCAAAGTGGCAATTTTTGCTGGTGTTTTATTTCCTAGTGTGCTTTTGTTGCAGGTGTCGTGTGGGAGAGAACTGGTGGTACCGAGGGGAGCACTGTGAAGAGTACGTGTCGGAGCCGCTTGTCGTGGGCATTGCAATCGCCTCCGTGGCAGGATTCCTGCTGGTGGCCTCTGCTGTGATCTTCTTTCTGGCCAGGACCCTTCGAGACCAGTACACGAAGAGTGACACCGAGGACTCGCTGGGGTAAAAAGCCACCTCTAATATTTTAAAGCATGTCTGCTAGGGGTACAATTCTATCCCCAGCTGCCAAGCAATAGGAGTTACACACCTCTAAGTGCCAGGCTTCCTTAATCCACGTGCTGCAGCCACAGGCTGCAGGGAAACTCATTGTGTGTTTATTGCTCCCCCAGGCAGGGTGACAGCCTCTCATCCATTGAGAATGCAGTTAAGTACAACCCCATGTATGAAAGCGATACCACTGGCTACAGCCACTACTATCGGAGATACCCCCAGCTGACGTCCTACAGTTCCACCAGTGCAGAGACCTCTGCTGAGTACAGCAGTGAAGAGATAAGGCACATCTATGAAAACAGTGAGCTTACTAAGGAGGTAAACRATTTTGGTCTTGTAATGACATGCAAAATATCAAATAACAATTGACTTGTTCTGAAATTACTATCCTAGAGGTAGGCTTGATCATCTTCCCTTCAGCCTGCAYGCGAGGCAAGCTGCAACTCTGTCTGCAAATATTTCAGAGGAGAGAGAAAGGTTTCTTTTACCTGCCCCCTTTTATTGTTAGATTTTTGAAAGTTCAGATCTTTTTATAGCCTGCAAGTTAATCACACTGTTCTCCTTCCCTGTTGCAAACACAGTACCCATGGCTGAAGAGAAGGGGCTTATATTTAGGAAGTAATGCTAAAGCTTTGAACAATTCCTAGAGGTGTGAATCCAGCCTATAACTGGAGTTGTGGACAAAGTATCTATTAGAGATGAATGGTTCTGCTAAATCCTGTTGAAATGTTATACTCTCCAAATGCTGGTTATGATTTTACAGTGAAGTAGTACTAGACTCCAGGGCTTCATTTTAAAAAAAGGGTAAATACATATCTTGAATATCGAATTGACCCATTTCAAGGTCTTCTCCTTGAAATAGCAAAGCACAAAACTCCTTTTATTTTTTTTTTCAATTAACAGTAATATTCTAATTTCTGTTATCTCATATRCCTCCTATTTCCTGTATTTTAGGAAATTCAAGACAGAATTCGAATTATAGAATTATATGCTAAAGATCGTCAGTTTGCAGAGTTTGTTAGGCAGCATCAAATGTGAGTAAAATATCTTGTTTGGATCATTCTCTTTGGGTCTTCTCATGTGGCTTTTGCTACATTACTGTACTGTGTGAAGGGTCTTGAACAACTAGGACATGTAGAGGTAAAGATTTCCACATTTCGGAAGACATTCATACCTTTTAAAGTAGTTAAAATAACTGGCATCAAATTAGATGCCCACAAAAGAAGTGAAAAGGAATCCTCAAGTTGCTCGGTATCAGAAATCAAAAGAACTGAAATCAATTTATGTCCTTAAGGCATAAATAGAACCCTTTTATCTCCTTTGGGATAGTTAGTGGTGCTTGTTGAATTTAAAATACARTTTTTAAAAGCATTTTGGTCTATTTCGAGTTCTCAGCATGCTAAAAGTAAGTCACTAGCACAGTTGTCTGGGGTTGTGGGCACAGCCTTGTAATTAAAACCTTACATTCCTGAATAACTTACCAAGCTGAGCTGTGAGCTTTGATGAAAGTTAACCATGAAGGGGCTATAGAAGAATTAAGTGTTTGCATTACACATTCCTATGAGCTGTTCTTAGTGCAGCAAGCGGAAAGTTAGAAGATAGCTCTGTTGGTTTGAAAGATACTGCAGTGTAYAATTCTTTGGAAGCAGACTAAAAATTGCTGCAGTAGCAAATCTCATGGTCTAASATCAGCAAATATATATATATTTTTCTTTTAATTGAAAATAACTACAGCTTGCATTTTTCAGTGTCAGTTGTTTTTCTTTATCTTGAAAAGTATCAGATTCTAGGTTTTCCACAGCTGGAAAGCAGTAAGGGCTGCCTAATATAAGCCTTGAATCCAAACTGTGAAAGAGACTAACTTAATCATTGCTTTTCTGTTTTTCATTTCAGGAAGCTGCTTTAAAAGAGAAAAAAAAAAAAAAAAAAAAGAAATCAGTAGAAAACATGTGGGAGATAAAGACTACCTTGTTGCCATAGCAATGGGCTCAGATGTAACTGCAAAGTCTTAACATTGCATGGATGGATACAGATGTTTTCTCAATGAATGGCTAAAATGTATGAATGTCTGTTTATTTTGATTGCCTCTGACTTTTCTGCGTAAAGAGACATTCCTAAGAGCTGATCAGAGTGGCAGAGGTTATGRAAGTTCATTTTTCTTTAAATCTGAAATGGACAGTCAGAGTTTGTATACCAAGGCAARAAATCTCCTCAGGAAAGGAGAAGATATATGAACACACTGGAAATAAAACACACATTTAAAACCTCTGCCTGGCATTCTTCCTCTCACTGGAGGCTACTGTAATGGTTTCACAAGTATAAAGTTCTAGTTGAAATAAATATCTGTAGTTCTAATTGAAAGAAGTATTTGTTCTKCCCATGAATACTTTGTAGGCTTATAGCTATTCTGCTAGAATAGTATTTGTATTATTTTAAAGCATTCCTATCATAAACATAACCTCAGTGGAAAAAATYCCTTGCACAGCTGCCTGATTTACTTTATGTCGCTTGACATTAGCAAAGCAGAAGGCTTAGCTCGCCGAAATGCTCTCCCCAACACCAAGCAGCACCTCTGACTTTGGGCGGCCTCATTCCCCACCTTAGCAAGGTGGGGCAGAACTTCTGCAATGTGGGGTTTTTACARCCAAGGCGGTTGTTGGCTCTCCAGCTCTTCCTGGCAGACAGATAACCTGGGACACAAAAGGGGCTTCTTCTGGAAAATTTAGGTGACTAACATTTTTTGTATATTGACAATGTGTTGGGTTTTTATAAGTTAATATAGGTTAAACGTTTCTTGTGCACTTCTCTGTTTTTCATAATGGAATTAACTATTGAAGTAAAAGGTGTATAGTTTATTGATGAAATACTAGAGCAGCATTTGCACCTGTCTTTTYAAAAATGTACATGTCGCTTATTTCATGTTCAATTCCGCCAATGAATATCTGAATTTTCTTTACTGAACTGGGCCATACCTCTTTTTCAAAATCAGGCAATGGTATTTAAGTGCATGAATACTTGGTAGATGGCAGCAGCTTTTAATGAGGAAGGAAAAAATACGACTTACATGCCAGTGTAGAATTCTTCACACAGGAGCCTGAAGCATTTAAAAAAACCCAAATTGATACAGAGTCCTCCTGAGGTTCAAAATCTGCGTTTTGTTTCGAAGTCATGAAGAGAGTGGGGACTGCATGTTAAGGTTTGTTCGAGCTTTGGCTGGTCACCAAATCTCTCTGTTTAAGGCATTAACACTGCTGCTAAATTTAGAGTGCTAACAATCTCACATTGCCTCTACTAGCAACTAAGACTTTTTTTTTTTTTTTAAATCTTTGCAAATATAATAGTCAGCGGTTCTTGGCCTGCATGTGTCAACGGCCACCTGATACTTTTTAAATTTAAGTGATAGTAAGAGCTACCTACTGTCCATAGGCTGCCGATCTAAACAGGTTCTGGAGGACCTTGCGTAGCATCCACTTGCCTAGAGGGGCAGGGAATGGGGATCAGAGGCATCTGTCAAGCAAATGCTTATATGAACCATTGTAAACAAGCCCAAATATCACAAGGCTGTGGAAAGTAGTCATAATTAATATCTGCTTAGTATCATCGTGACCAGATGTTGCGAGACAACAAGATGTTGTGTGGTGACACAAGGACTCTGACAGTGGCCCAGGTCCTCAGAGCACCGCATGGGCTTCCTCTTCTTGCAGCAAGAGTGTTGGTGCACCAAGGCCTTGTGATCACCATAACTACGCTCTAAAAATTGTTCAAGACTTGTTTCAGTGCAGCTTGGCTGGCTGTGTTGCTTCTGCTAAGATATGGTGCATTTTTGATGTGGTTTGCGGGGAGGAAGGCTATCCCCTTACATGCATTTTCTTCCCATTGACATCTTGCTCCATTTACAGAATGAAAAAAGCTTAATTACACTAGGAAATTCACACACTTGAATGCTGTTAATGTTTGGTGGAGAATTTAGAACTGTATCAGCCCTTTGTTTGATATAAATCAAAACAGTTTGTGTCAGCTGGGATCTTGCATTTCTGAAATGTATACTAGAGTTTGCTGTGCACAAGCCTAGGAGAGTCTTGGTCGTGATGAGTACGATATATTTCAGTGTATATACAGTGAACTTTTTCTTTGTGTGTATGTGTGTGTGGTGGTGGGGAATACACATGAATATGATGGCATCTTATTTTCACTGTAATAAAAAAAATTCCAAAAAGAAAATATCCTTTTTTTGATAAACTTAATGTAAAGACTATGAGTTTGAAAGTGAGAGAATATCTATCAGTCATAATGATTTGCCAGTGTAGAGTTTTCTTTTGAAACAGAGTTGGTTAAGATGTTAAGTGCCAAATATACTTCACGATGACTAACAAGGTAATATTCTGAAAACTCATGCTAGAAAGTAGTAATTGTATTGCTGCTAATCAAAGAACCAAAACATGTTATTACTTAGGGAAACTTGAATTCTTAAAAAGACAAGCAAACAAAAAACGCTTCAAACATCTCTACCTAAACTATTCAAAGAYGCATCTTGCCATATGTCAAGGAGGACTTAATGAGTTTGTGAGGTTTATTTGTTACTCTCCCATTCAAAGGCAGAAGAAGATCCAAGGTTCRTAATTAAAAATAATAATAAAATGTCAGCACTATATACAAATCTACCAACACTTGTTTATTAGTTACAGAACATCATTTTTCACTTGCTAAAATAAATAAGTCTGGGTGTGAATGATAGGTTAATTTAAGAACAGGTACAAAGCCATTTTTGTTCACTTCAAATTGACAGGATCATCAATTTCTGTTATTCGCCCTCAAGAGTTTGAAGCAGAGAGGTGAAAATCAAGCCCTGGACAGGAACAGGATGTTTGATCTGACAACGTATTTGGACCAGAGTGCCACAGGGTAGAGATTTGGCTAACTGACAGAAAGGGAAATGGGTCTATTTTAGGGTGCTGAAGAGCCTCTCTTCTACATCTCAAGGCAGCCTGTCCCATTGCAARACAGCCACTCTTTCACAGCCTTGCCTAGCAAAAAGGTATTCTATTATTCCATATCTTTTAGATATTCTCTTAAAAGTCTAAGCTAGGCCAGAYTTCAGCTATTGCTATGTACCAGTTTAGTCCTGTTCGTAGTAKTAGCAGATTTCTTCTGGTCCTCAGGGGCAGAAGAAATTGCTCTTCATTTCCATCCTCTCCARAACTGGGTATAGTACAGTACATTAAGAACTAATGTCGATTGATAAAAAGGAAAAATAAGCATACAAACACAAAAACCCAAAACAACACATGGAAGTTCAAGAATTCTGCTGGTCAGACCTGCTGCAATTGCTRTGTAGTATGAGAGGCAGTGAAGGAGTGTAAAATGACTCTGTGTCTTCCCGCGTGCTGAATTTCAGGGTAGGTCAGTTTGCTCAGGCTCCACAGGASAGAAGGACACTGTTACCTTCTATTAACTATCAAAGCAAAGTTCACCTATAGCAGCTTATCTGGCACACTAGCATAGACACAGGCTGACTTCATAGATAATAGGACAACCGATGGGCACTACTGTTATTTAAATATTAATAAACTCATGGCACTTCCTGTTTACTTGAAAAGTACTGAAACACCAGCAGCATTTCTRTCTCATCTTTCCACTGCTTGATTCGATTTGAGCCTTACATCCTGCGTATGAGAAGGGCTGCAGGTCAGAATCTGTTCATTTGTTTGCTTTGCCTTCTCAGTTCAAAAAGAGAAAAAATCCCAAGGGAACTTTTGKGTGAGGAAAGGAATATTTTCATCTCTCAGTCCCTTTTTTGTTTGTTTGTTTACGTTGTTAATTCTACTGACAGCTCATCTAAGGACTCTACTTAAATATCAACATATCAGAGTTGGAATCAACTGTGCTAAATCTTGATCTCCCTAGGCCTCATTTATACAGCTAAAAAAAAAAACCAAACCCATACCTCCAACCTCTCTTGAAATGCAGGCAGCTGAAACTTTACCCAAAAATTGCAAATTAAACACAAATCAAACTTAGTGTTAACTGGAGTTGCTATTGCATCTACACAGCTGATGACCAGATGGGGAAACTATGTCTTTTTGGAAAGGCTGATGTAGTTTGAACAGAAAAGCAAGCAGTAACATTAATGCATACAGCCATATATCACATCTTTTCAGCAAGAATGTGGGCACGTGGCTGAGTGAAAGGGGGAGGGAAGGGGCAGATCCTCTGCAGTGAACATACAAGGAATTCCAAGAGTGTCCGACCTCCATCCACGCAGGGGAGACAACTGCAAGCAAACTCCCTTGAGTTTTCTGTGCCCAAAGAGGATTGTACAGGGATTAAGTGACCTCTCATCCTGGAGAGGGAGGGAATCTGAGCACTTTTAGCAGCAGCCCAAGGCTTGGGTTTGCAAGCCTGACCTATGGGTCACACGCTGACTGCAGCGCTGCTTGCGTCTCCAGTTACCTGCTCAGGTAGGGAGTAGCTGCTGTTTTCTTCCTTCTCTGCTGTTGCGAAGAGGGAGATTCTTTGACTACCATCTGCTTTCTACAGTTCTTCTATAAACCAGAGACTGCTGTACCGCAACTTGCCTCTCTTTTTTTTTTTTTTTTTTTACTTTTTGTCTAAAGATTTGGACAAAAGCTTCCTAAAACCACATTTCAAAGCCTTGCTTTCCATCTGCTCCCCTTAGGCATGGATCCAAATCCCTAAGAGCCTGTGCAGGAATGTAGTGTGCCTCTAAARGGCGCATGTACCACCAGGCCTCCCTTTGCCCTTTCCCCCACCACACCAGTGTTTTTAACACCAGCTACTGCTCACCTGCTCTAAACACATTCAATCAACCAGCCCACCTCACACTGAAGTATCCTATCAGAGTTTGCAGTGCTTGGAGCATCATATACTGCCTRTAACACGTATTTTGCATTACACATACAGCTCCTAATGGGACATGACGTGCCTAGCGCCATACACACTAGGCTTGACACTGTATATCAAGCTAACCAAAAGCAGAACTGGTCAACAGACTGTTTAGAGCACCCTGACATTTAGTGTTTCATGACTGTCATTCCAAACAGCACATGACTCCATTGACTTTTTAAAATGGGAAAGCACAGAATGTTTTTTTGCGCTTACCTGACAAGAAAAAAGAAGGCGATTGAAGCTGGTATTGAGGCTGTCAGAGGAGAGAACGAGTCCCCAGTTTACAGGTTCCATAAATCCATGGAAAGTGGAAAAAGTAGGATGAGGAGCTATGCAGTAAATTGACAGTTCATTCCTTCTGCCTTTTTCTATGTAAGAGGAGAAGCACCCTACTATTGCTAGGGTTTGACATATATTATAGTGAATAGACTGGTCCTAGCTAAGCATCCTCAGTATTGATTTAAGGATGGGAGTAGGTAAATTCAAAGATGAAATTCAAAGATTCTTCAACCCCATTCACGTGAATTAATTTTTTAAAAATAGTTCCAGCTAAGCTTCTTACGGTACATCATCAAAATAGTCGTGCACCTTCCCTGCTCTGCTGTGGGAAATGAAAAGTTCGGATCTTGCCAAGATCAATCAGCATATA